GTTTGATGGCTTTGCTGGCCCCTATAGTTGGATGCTGTAAAGCCAAGCCGGACGAATTATCGATTTGCGTATATCGTAAGTTTGTTGGCTAGAGATAGTTTAGATTTTAATAGGGGTCACAGGAGATGCAGTCAAGAGTTCGCAGATTTACGTTTTTGTTTTAAGTAAAATATTAAAATACAATTAATTAATATAGCCAAATAGGTACCTAAATTTTAAGTTTATAATATTTATTATAATATATATATACTTAAAATACTTACTATTCTCTTAGATTCTTTTGATAAGTGTCTATAGGTATATTAACATAATTAAAAACAAATTAAGAGGCCAATACTGCCTGTATAGATATATATATTGTGTTGTAATGTTAGAGGTACAGTTAAAAGTTCAAAATTAATATAAAAATATAGATATAATAGTGTAAAAATCTAAAATAAAACAACTATACGACTTGGGTTTGTATCCTTTACATAATGTTATAATATGTGAATAAATAATATATAGCTGATAGGTAGGTAGGTATATAAGTTTTAATATTTACAGTTTATGTTATTTTATATTTTACCATATAGTTTTCTCTTTATAATATCGTGGCCGCGATTATTATTATGTTATTGTAATGATTCATATAGCTTCAGTTGTTGTAATATATTATATCCGTTAAGAGTATCTGAGTATAATGGTATACAGTGTATGTACAGAAAATTCTCTTGCAAGGCATTCAGTTAAATAAATAAAACGGTTTCAAAAAAAAACATACCGGACAAAGAAAAATGTATACCTACACATAATATATCTCACGAGGTATTGACGGTTGTTTGTTATCATTATATTCTTATTATTATACCCATATTTATGAAGGAGATGTACGCATATTATGTGAGGCAAGTTTATTTTTATTCGAATGCAATTAAAAAAAAAAAAACATTGAATTTTTTTTTAATTTTGTATTATTATCGTGATAGCACTATTGTAATAATGTAAGTCGTAGGTATATAATATGTAAGTTTATATTCAAAATAAGAAAAGATATTTTCAACCCGATTATATTTTTATCTAGGAACTAATAATATAATCACCAATGAGAATTGTCGGACATATTATGTAACAGCGATAATGTAGTGCGGGTGTTAGGCGTGGATATACACTGCAAATATATTATGTACCCATAGATACATAAATATAATATATTCAAAACTTTGCACTGCAAATACTCCAGAAAGTAAATATATATAATAGTAGGTACCCATATAACCTACTAAGCATAAATATAATATATTGCGTAAATTATATTTTGCATTCCGTATTTTAGCACTCGAGTTGTGCAACACTATACACAATGTGTACTATATAATATTAAATTATAATATACACTATCCAAATATAAATATTACCTCTACATTTCACGAAAGACAATTTATCAATAACATATGCAATGAGAAACATTTTATAATGTATACAATATAGGTACCAGGTATCTCACTTTCACATCGCAATGTGAATAAAATTGAACACTATATAGGTACCTATAATATTACGCACCGAGTCTAATTGAATCGCTTGCTTTAATGCTTTGTAATCGATGTGATGCGATGTGATGGATGACAGTGGCGGATCTAGGGGAGGGCAAAGGGGGCATTTGCCCCCCCCCCCAATCACCGTAATTTTCCTTTGTTTTACACTGTGTTTAGCCAATTTCGGAACTTTTTGTACTTTAATAATAATAATATATTATTGGAATGCGTACGATGATTGTATTTTTAACGATTGTTTTGACAGTTTTGAAATAAAATATAAATATAAAGATCATCATTCTATAAGACCTACACGTCAGTAAGTTATTAAATTATTGCAAAACCGATATTTTTCAAGATCTAATTCTTATCGAAGTAGAAAATATATTATGGCTTTGATATATACGAACAACTTTTCTCAAAAGTTAATAAAAACTGTTGGACCAAAAATACTTATTTTTTTAAATTTGTTGTTTTTTCAAACATGAACCAATAGTGATAGAATATCAAAATATCAAATTAAATTGTAAAAAAAATAAATTAAGTATATATACCTACCTACGTTGTTTGTCGGCGTGTACACATGCATATGGGTAAAACGCCTATACCTCTATAATATAATATAGGTACCTCGGCAAATATAATTGTACTATATAATAGGTACACGTACATAAGACGCCGACTCATATAATAGTATACTGTATACCTATATAATGTTCTGCACATAAATGATTACTCATTTAATTTAATAATTAATTAAATAATATTTTCTACTTTGCACATTACATGGAATAGTGAAAAAAAATTTCTAAATCATAGAATATATAAGTTAATATTAAGCCTATATTATATTCCTATATATGTATAGGTACATGGTTCCTGTATATGGTATAACTCAATGATCTGCATCACATCTCTGTTTTCTATATACCTATAAGTATAAATAGGTACCTATTGAGTATATACGGATTGACGATTGTGAAGAGTCTCTTTTGCGAGAGCGAAACAATAAATTGTAATTATTATTATTCTAGTATAATTAAAATAAATATCTCTAATTGTATATACACACCAATACACCACTCGTATTTGATGATAGATGATCGATGACGTTTGTATCGTAAGGGTGATCATTGTTTATATAATATTTTAATACTTTAGTAGGTACTCATTTGTTGTCCACTGAGCTGCAGCGGTCGAGCAAATAGTCGACGATATAACAATAACACAATACATAATAATTATGATGATTTTTGACGGTAGCCATACGAATTCATATATATAAGTACGAGCGTGCAGTTTATATACCTTAGAGGTAGGTACAATACACTGTACTTTTCGTACTGTAGATGAGGTACCTCCATAATAATATATATTATCATTATTATTGTTTCGTTTCGGCATCACTTGGAAGAAATTTAATTCATGACCGTTATTGCCGACCGCTATTTCCACCTTTCTTCCACGCAGACCAAGTAAAAATATAAACCACATTTATTATATATACGCACAATACAATTTTGGTCTCACTTATCGCAGTCTTAAAAACGGTTGCCATAGATGACGCGACATGAGAATTTTCACACACTTTCACACACACATATTTTATAGGTTGGCACAGATTTATGACTATACCAGCTACTGCTGCAAATTAATATAATAATAATATATTATATATATAGTTAGTGTAACAGGACTGGGCTTTTATCATTTTTAATAAATTTATATACAAAACATAATATTTATTAACGTAATAACAGTATAATTTCATGTTGTTTTATTAATAAATAAATAATAATAATAATAATCAATTTTAAACGTCGGCATATAGATATAATATATACTTATATATCGATCAATTTTACAGATGATTTATTCGTTTTTCACAATATTATATAACTTTATACATGATATTTACAAGAACAAGAAAAAAATAATATTTATATGTTTAACTAATTTATTGCGATTCAAAAACATTGCTCTATATTATCGATAATCTAAACATCGTTTAACACAATATAAATAATAACTTTTCCCAAAAGGGTTATATATCTATAATATAGGTAGTTATAATATTCGGACAATTATATTATATTTGCTTATATAGGTATGAACCTATTATGGGAGTAGACCGTTTGGGCGAATAAGTATTAATTGGTTTATAGGTAAACTAATTAATTATAATATACTGTACAAAGTAATGTACTGCAGTTTCAATTGAAAAAATAAAATAATAAAATAAAATCACATATAATATAAACATAATTAACAATGAACTCTGGTTTTAAAAAGATACCTAATGATATGGGTATAGCGTACATACCTATATATTTTGTAATTTAGTAATATACAGTCAAAAATTAATAAAATAAAATCACACATGCACGTCAAAGTCATAGGTATATTAGTGTATCGCTGACCTAAGTAGGTACAAATAATTTCACTCACCCATACAGTATAAATGACTGCAGTCTCCAATACAGACTATTCATTTTTTGGTCAAAATTATATATACATGCGTAATGCACTCGCCCATCGACCGCCACCCATATAATATATTACACCCCATCGTAACGACAATTTTAATTTTACAATTTTTTGTATCTACGCTATCTACATAAATTTACCTACATAATATATTATAAATTATAATACTATATATATCATTATCATGGGAAGAAAAACGATCAAGTAGAATGATCACCGCGAATAAAATTTGATTTAGTGAATATTATACCCCGGGGTGAACGATATTACGATAATATAATATACTGGTCGGAGAAATTTTAAGCATACCTAACCTAACCTAATATACTTTTCATATAATACGAAAATATATTTCATATATTATGAATAAATTGTCGTGCACCGCAAACGAAGATGGAAGGAGATTTCGAACTAATCGATTAGTGATCACCATTGCATAGGCACGATTTGGAAGGGCTTGGGGTGATTTGCATTCCAAATTTGAAATTAGCGCCTTCATAATTATCCAACTTGTGCGGACTAACTTATAATTGCAATAATGTGCTTCGGCACCCCAAGTTTTTTCATTAAAATTGCCCCACTGTACAGTTTAACATTAGTTGGAAATAAATCTTTCATATACCATTATATAAATACGAGGGTAGGTATATTTTTAAAAGCGACTAACCTGCAGAAACGAGATAGGACTACGCGAATATACCTTATGTACATAAAATATAAGCTATAATACTAGCCGCATAAAATATGGATTTCTATTTAAATAATATATTATCAGATGTGTAAGGTAGAAAAATTAGGTTAGGTTTACACAAAATCTGCAGTTTGATTTTATTTTAAAAGGAAATTATTGTAAATCGTAATATCGCACGCAATGACGTTGACGCAGGCAAGTCCGTATCGAAACGAAGGCGTAGGTTTATTTACTATTTGGTAATTATAGTATACAATGCAATATAATATTATATAATAAAAAATCGGAAAACGATATCGTTTACCTCAGTCGACTAGTTCGGTTTTGCAGACGGCGTCGTCGGGCGTCGGGGTGGTGGCCTCGGCGTACGGCTGCAGCGAGGGTGGCGTGGGCGTCTGGTTGCGGTCCTGAACGATGACGGTGGGCCACGGGCCACCTCCGATCATTCTCTGCAGGCCCAATGACTGGCGGAACGCGTGCAACCGATGCGCAGCCTGCAGCTGCTGCTCGTAGTACCGCTGCAGCAGGCCCGCCGGTTCCCAGACGCCGCTGACGCTATTCCGGCCGCCGCATGTCATCGTCTCGTCGTCGTCGTCGCTACTTCCGGCACCGGTGGTCGCGGTCAGCGCCATCATCGGATCGTTCCGGTGAAACTGCTGCAACATGCGCTTCGGCGGGTCGGGCGCCAGCAGCGACGCGACGTCGAACTGCCGCTTCTGTGCCCTGGCAGGCACCAAGAGCGCCGCGGACTGTTGCTGCTGCAGAATAGCCGTGGGTTGCTGGACGACCGGTTGGAAGTAGAACGGGTGATGCGGGTGACCGGCCGTGGACGACTGCCACAAGGCCGGTGGCGACCTCTGCTGCTGCTGGTGGTGCAGATGTTGTGACTGCTGGTGGTGATGCTGCTGCACGTGATGGTGCAGGTGATGGTGGTGCTGCTGCTGCAGAGTCTGCGGCGGCGGTGGTGGCGGTGGAGGTGGCGGTGGACTTGGCGAGTCGTTGCCGTCGTCGTCCACAGCCAGGCCCATGTGCCGACGAACCTTGCGTTGGGCCTTCCGGCGCCTGAAATCGCCCTTCTTGAAGTCGTCCACGTTGGCCGGGTGTATGGCCCAGTAGTGGCCCTTGCCATTGGCCGACCGGCCGGCCTTGACAAAACAGTCATTGAGTGACAGGTTGTGTCGGATTGAGTTGCGCCAGCCTGGGCCCCGGGTCCGGAAGTAGGGGTAGTTGTCCAGTATATACTGGTAGATGTCGGACAGCACAAGCTTGCCCTCGGCCGACCCGAGTATGGCCATGGCGATCAGTCCGATATAGCTGTGCTGCGGCTTGGGCTCGTCGGCTGTCTGGAGTCCGCCGGCCACGCCGCCGCCGCCGCCGTTGGGGTGGAAAAGCGCCACGGGAAACCGTGGCTGGTAGATGGCCGCGGCCGCTGCCGGATAAACCGGGCACACGGCGCCCCATCCACCCGACAGCCGCAGCCGTTCTGCCTGTAGCGCGTAATTGTAAAGATGCAACCGGTACCGGTTGAGGTTTGCCTGCTGCGACGAGTCTGCGGCTGCGGCAGCGGCGCCGGATTCCGAGGTCTGTTGCAGCTGATCGTCCGCGGACGAGGTGATGGCTGCCCTGCTGCACATGACGGCGGTACGTTCGCGAATGAATATACCACGATAGCGCTGCACACGCGTTGTCCACGGTGGTACACACGTATATTCTCTATACGCGCGCGATTATTATTGGTGTACGCCTACGACGCACCGCCGCCGCTCTCCCCACCACTAGCCGGTCGCGCCGCGGTACAACAACAAATACACAAACATCGAAGCGGCCGCCGCCGCCGCCGAGCGTACGTGCGTAAATATATACAAATTTGTTTTATTTTCATTCCCCCCGCGCACATATATGTGTGTGTGTGTGTGCGTGTGCGTGATGTACGTTTTCTGTGTTTCGATTTCTGCGCTCCTTTTCGTCACCAATCCGTCACCGTTACCGTTACCGTCTCACTCGATCTCTCTCACTCTCTTTCTCTCTGCAGCGGTGTGTCTCGCGCGCGGTTTATTCTCTCCGCGTAGTTTCTCCGTGTTTCTCCCCCTCCCACCACACATACTTCACCGTTACCGTTGCCGTGCGTGTCGAGGGGAGAAAACACGGGTAAACATTCAGCGACGCGACCGATAGTTTCTGGGCGTGACGGCCGTTCAGCGTTTCGATTGGTCCGGTTGGGTGCCGCCCAATTGAGTGAACTGCTCCGCCGCCGCGCACAGCCTGCGAGTTACCGTTCCACTGCAGTCCCGTATATATTATTATTATTATACCAACATTTTGGCCAAGCGCCAGAGGTACACGCGAATAAAGAGAGAGAAAGAGAGAGAGTGAGGAGAGGGTAGGAGAGTGAGAGAGGGATGCGACGGCGATATATTATTATTTATACCTATATCGAAAGGGGCGCTCGCGAATGGACGCGAGGGAGACAGATTTAGTATATATATAATATTATAACAGTTATGTATATATATAGTGAGTGTTGTGTGTGTGCTTATATATGGTAAAAACAAATTCTCGTTTATATAGTTTCTCTTTGAGATTGTTCGATATCGTGAACGAAAATCTCCACTATAATAGGTTATGTAATATGTATATACGCGTGTGGTGCTTGTGATATAGCCATATAGGTACCTAGACGAATTGTTTTTATTATAAAGCTGGGTATAGGACAGGTATACCTAGGTAGGTAAGTAAAATAGGATCTTGTATACTATAATAACACGATATAACTTGATAAGTTTATAAATTAGGTAGGATAATATATTTGATATTTAAATATTGTATTATTCGATGATAGGTAGGTATATACCTACCTCGCATGCGTTGGTCGATTTTTCGATGCATTGATTGCAAATGTATAATATTATGTATAGGCATTAAGAGAAGGCGGAGTAAAGTAACGAGGTTAAGCTTCTACGATTTTCCCTGGCAAATATAAATTGAATAACTGTAATTTATATGAGCATTTCTACCATACCTTGCCTAATACCATTGCAATATGCATATGCATATTTCAAGTGCCTCTTTCATCATTAAATGGACAACACACGGGTTTTACCAAAAATATAATTTTTGTCATCTTTCCCCAGCTATTGAGTAATAGATGTCGAATGGGATATAAGAACAAAAGGGTTAGAATAGTTATATGATGATTGATGAATACGGTATCGTATATAAGACGACAAACAAAATCTGGAATTTGAAAATATCAAAAAACCTTAATAGTTAGCAAGTAACTATTCTGCAAGAACTTCTTTTATATAACTTTGAAACTTTAAAATTAAATATAAAATAAAACCATTTGAAAACATAAAAAATAAATAATATTTACCTAGGATAAAATAAGTTATTTGTACCTATGTGAGCTTTTAAATTTTATCATCACGCAATATTTGCTCCTCCACGCTCTCACTGCGCTTCTTTATATCTATTAGACTTGGAGTACCTAACATTTTCAATCACGTAGGGACTCTATGCGAGCCGGGACGACGTGCTGTTTTCGGTATTAAACTATGAAAAACTACTGAATTTAACATCTTTTGTCGTCTTTAATTATATAGTGATAGTCAGATACCTCATACCTACGTCTATATATATATACCTACTTTATATCATCTATATATAAATATATAATATATAATAGGCACCTACCTAATACCTTATATAATATATCATGTATCTGGTATATTATATGATTTAGTATATGTATATGTATATCAATATATCATACTAGCTGTCCCGCCCGCGAGGTTGTCCTGCAGGCGAAAGATTTATACCTATTTTTAATGAATATATTTGTAGATAATGTATATACCAAATTTCTTATCTAATTACAATATTAATATAATATTTAACTAAATGCAACCATTTAGATGAACAAAAAAAATGTTCTATTTTCGTATATGGTGAAAATTATCATGTGTGAGCTACCCTTTAGCTATCTATATCTAACCTATACCTATAGGAGATAAAAGCTATAAACCCCCCCAAATGTCAAGTAATCTATAAGAGACCCACCTGTAACCTACTTTACAGCAAATGCGGCATCCACTTACCCAATTTTTTTAAAATTGTTTTTTTGTAAAATTAAAATGTTCTATATATTTATTATTATCAACAATATATATTAAACGTTTAAACGTTTATATTATTTATCATTTTAGCAAATATTCATTTTTTTGGGGGGGGGGTGTTGTACTTACTCCTCATTTTTTATGAAATTTACGATTAATTATAGATCATATTTTATTTTTATTAATTTAATGTGAATTGTAATTTTCTGCGATGTAGCTATACCTACAAAGTCATTATAACATATTATTATGATTATTGAATTGGGGAGAGAGAGCAAACATATTTTGTTGTGTATTCCATATTATAATTTATGTAAGAATAACTGAAAAAATAGGGGGTTTCAGCACCCCCAAGTTTTCATTGGAATTGCGCTCCCTGACCTATATTATACATAATATTTTATTATTCCTATTCATTATTTAAAAATAAATGATTATTATACAGTATACGTACGCTATATTGTTCTATATATAACTATATAATACATGAATATTGAATGTATTTTATTAGAAGAAACCTACGTAATTTTTTTTTCCTTGTGGTATCGCTTCATTGCAGGGGGCGAACCGTTTGCACAATACTTACCCTCGTCCAAGTGTTCAACATCATTGATTGGACAAACAAAAATTCAAGTTACATTACTAAATATAAAATAAATAACAATCATGTCATCATGACTGATGTGATCGCCTGTCCCTCCCTTGGTGCCATATAGGATATAGTGCAGAGTCGTGGTCTGTCCAGACGTCTGGTCGGTCCAGTATCTCCTGGTGCTGTATCGTTCTCTCTTCATCATGTTTCAAAAACATTATTGTCTCTATACCATGCGATAGAATAATCTGTTTGATTCTTCCACGTCAATTAGAGTCGTTGCTTTTTCCTCCTTTTTAGTTGGGATGTCGTTTAGGGCCAGCCCAAAAAGCTGTAGTTCAACTCAAGTCAAGCAACCTATGCAATATTACTGCATTGCAATGTAAAATGTTATTATATGCAATAATAATTATTACCTACTAATATTAATACCTTAGACCTTATAGGGTTTAGGTACATTATTATATTATAGATTTAACGCGCGGCAACTCAGGCCATTAGCTGTTTTGTTTGTTAGTAGTTTGTTTGTAGGTTAAGTTATATATTGTTATTTATAATACTTAACATATTATACATCATATATTTTATATAGGTATATATATTCAACACCACGGTAAGCTTTACGATAAATCTTGCTTAGGTATTAAAAACTAAAACCTGCAACTCGCAGCAACAGCTGCACCCTTAACACGTTCAGGACCGAGAGTAAATCCGAGTGCTCTTTAAATAAACCGCCCAAAAAATGGCTTTTGACATAAATAAGAATTAAAAAATATAAATAATAACTATCTGAGGCCAAAATTTGAACCCGCTGTAAAAAAAAAACCTTTAGAATAGACCACGGAAACTTGATATTTGTTAAAATAAACCGGTGAAAATCATTCCTATATAAAACGATATTCACCATGTCACATATATGTGATACCGGTCCACCTAAAGACACCCCATGTCACATATTTGTGACACTTGGCCGTGAACGTGTTAACAGACAATATATATTCGGGGCAAGAAGATATATATAATCAAAGGATTATAGTTTGTTATAGCAAAGTTATATAGGTATATATTATTACGTGACCATACCTACCTATAATATACATATTATATTTACAGGAAACTTTTCCTTGTCGTCCAGGTCTGCAGGATGAATATTAAGTACCTAAAGGTATATTGTATATTTGTATATACGTTATTCGCATGTATATAAATTTATGATCATGCAGCGATTATTATATTCAAAATACGTGGTTTTTGTTTTATAAATAGGTATACCTATAACATTTCTAAGCACTCAAACGGTTGTTGAGCGATGAACGTATAATATAATATGTGACGTATAATTATTATTATATACCATAAACTAATACCGTATGTGTATACAAACCACACCCAACACCGAACACAACAAAAATCACACATACGTATATTGTATATATAATATATATTTAAATGCATATACTTATCCATATATAATATATATATATATATATATATATATGAAATCATGTATACACGCACGCGAAATAATAATAATAACATGTACGCGGCATTAATGACAGGCTGACAACAATAATATATGTGTAACCGTGTCCATCCATTGTGGCAATATTGAATTTGAAAGGAGAGACCGCCTTTGAACCGGGCCATATGTGACGGAAAACATGTATATAAGGTCACTTTTTTCCTCTCTATTTTTTTTTATCACGACGGTTCGGGGGAGACTGCAGCAAGTCTGAGCAATAATTTGGTTACGCGAGTTTTGCGTTTTATATATATATAAGTATACGTCATATATTGCATATTAGCGCACCCGACGATTGAGCTGCGTACTTAAACCCCTTTTTGTCCCGTGGCGAGCGCGTCAATGTCATCGTGCAGCCGCAGCAAAAGCGCGTACAATAACGGTGCACATAATATAACCCCGTGA